ACCTCCAACTATTGCCTCACGTGCCAAATGTACCACAAGGTGTTCCATGGAATCAAAGAATCCCGGTGGGAAGACTCTTTCCAACTTGCAGATAGTTTCCACTATACTTGTTTGCAATTGAACCAAGTCATCAATGTGTAACACCTTTGAGCATATTGCATGAAAGAATGTGCACAACTCAGTGATAGCATCCCATATTGGAACCGGTACCATCCCTTTTATAGAAAGAAGTAGCAGCCTTTGCATGAACACATGACAATAATGACTTTTGAAGCCATAAAAACTACCATCTTCGACGTTTACTAATGCACCTAGGTTAGAAGCATAGCCGTCTAGAAATTTCAACTTCTTCAACCATTGGCACACCTTTCCTACTTGCTGTTTGTTCAATGAATATGAAGCTTTTGGTTTAAATATTTTTTTTCGTTCCTCCCTCACATGCAACTCCAGTCGATTGCAGTATTCTTCAATGTCTTTCCTTGCTTTTACGTTGTCCTTCGATTTTGGGGTGTCCATGATGGTGTGAAAGATATTTTCAAACATATTCTTTTCAATATGCATTACATCAAGGTTGTGTCGGATCAACAAAGTGTGCCAATATGGCAACTCCCAGAAAATGCTCTTCTTTACCCAATTGTGGGTTACCCCAAAACCCACAGGCTTCCTATATTGCCTTGAACCGTGTGGGACTCCATCATAGACCGTAGGAAGGCTATAAACTTGTGTCGATATTTTCTCCCCAGTTAGAAGAGGGGGTGGACCAACTTTTTCAACATGTCCAACACGAAATTGGTTCCTATCACACCTGAACGAGTGTCTGATTGGCAGAAACTTGCGGTGACAGTCAAACCAACACGATTTTCCTCCGCTTTGCAACTAGAATGCACATGCATTACCCATGCAATATGGACAAGCTAACTTGCCATGCGTGCTCCAACCAGATAGCATGGCATAAGTAGGGAAGTCACTAACCGTCCACAACAATACGGCCCTCATTGTGAAATTCGTTCGTCGATGAGCATCATAGGTAACGACACCATCAAAGAATAACTTCTTTAGCTTGTCGATCAAGGGTCGAAGAAACACATCCACCTTCTGCCCAGGGCTCTTCTTGCCAGGAATCAGCAAAGCCAGGTGGACGTTCCAGTCTTTGATGTACATCCAAGGTGGTAGATTGTAGTTTGTAAGAAAAACAGGCCATAATGAGTATGGACTTGAGTTGGAGTTATTGGGATTGAAACCATCTGTACATAATCCCAAACGAACATTCCCAATCTCTTGAGCAAAATCGGCATGCATCCTATCAAAATGTTTCCAAGCCTCCCCATCACTCGGATGTACCATCTTTCCTGTCTCGGTTTGATGATCATGGTGCCAAGTCATCTCCTTTGCTATTTTCTTACACAAATACCACCGTTGTAATCTGGATGTAATTGGCAAATACGTCAACACCAAATTAGGCACATTATTGTTTTGGCCGGTTGTCTTGTAACGAGACTCTCCACATACTACACAACTGTTATGATCAGCAAATTCCTTATAAAATAACATGCAATGGTTCTTGCAAGCATGTATCTTTTCTTTCGGAAGACCAAGCTCCTTCAACATCTTCTTTGTCTCGTAAAAGYTACCAACCAGTTGTTCACCGTCAGGTAGCATTTCTTTTACCATAGTCAGGTTAYGATTGAAGGTTGTCTCTGGCACATTGCAATCTGCCTTCCAATTCAAAAACCTTGCCGCTGCCTGTAACTTTGAAAATCTCTGGCATCCCTCCCACAACGGCTCGTCTGCAGCTTGTAACATATYATAGAAACGTTGTGCGTGTTGATTTGGTTCTTGCTCGTCCCACGTACGTGATGTACCGGGAACATTTTGATCCATGACCATTTGTTCAACACCATCAAACTCATTGTAATCATCGTCCACTATTGT